TATATAATCGTCCAGATTAGCGAGAAACTAAATTAAGTTTCATTCTATAATTCAATCAGTCCAGATTATTTTCTTTATCGAAACTTAAATATCGTATTGATTCTAAATAATTGCGTCTTGAAATTAATAATCACGATTTGAATTGTCTTCCTTCGACACGAACTGAGTGCTTAAGAATCCAATATTAAAATTAATACCCCCGTCGCATCCTAGATGAGTTAATCGGTTAATCGGGAATAAGGAATAAGCATAGAGCGTAGACATCAAATAATTTTGATATTAATCGTGCAAATAATCGTTGCCATTATTGTAATCTAGCAGAACTCGTGTTTGATCAATCATCATGCGATCCAGAACATCGAAGGGCCGTGGCAACGTTCGAAATGACTTTCGACTTTTTTTTACTCCATCATTGATTTGTGGAACAAGTTGGCCGTGCTGTATTTCAATCCAGAGATGGAATGACGATCGAATTTGATTTCGTTCATGAATCTATGCATTTATTAATTTCAAATATCAAAATTATGAATTTTCAAACTTTACAAAAACTTTTCAAATCGAACTTTGCAATTCCGAAACATCTAATATTTCAATACCGATGCGAGCCACAACAACTTTTCCAAATTTTTCAAACAGACAAAAAGAAAGAAAGAAAGGACGCCGCAGCGGAAGCGCACATTAAAAGCACAATGTCACGGCCCTGCGTACACATAATCGTTAATAATAAAGATAAAGGAGGAAAAAGTGGAGAAAAATAAGGAAAGCAACGTCATATACGAATATATATGATACCCACGTAAGCTACGTGTATAATATACAGAAGATTGTTAAAACGGTCATGTTTTCTCTAATAGAAAGTTTTGCTCCATTAACGCAAAGGGTGTTTGTGGTTACCGATTTAACGAACGTTGATTTTCTCATATGTATCGCCTACAGTTGTGCCTCGCGGATTATCCCAATTGTTATATGTGATTATCCCACAATTGTTACTGTATATAATGTACGAACTTTTCGATTTTAATTCCGTTGAAATCTCTACTGTCCACCGATGGAAATGTCTAAATATTAAGTTGTTGCAGATTAAAGTGATTTTTAATACTTTAACGTTGTATTCGATGATCTTTGTTGCTTCGAAATTATTATAATGTCAAAATATGTATAATACTTATTTAAAGATTTACATTTAGATTATATATCGTGGTGAAAAATAATCGATTAAGGGGTTGATGAAAGTGATATTAATCAAAACTTGATTCGATAAATTGAATCCACCTTATCTCCATCGAGATAATTATTTTTCACGCTTATATTTGCCAATTTAATTTTTCACACACATGATGACAGTTTGTTCTTTTGACATTTAAAAAAAAACTGTTTAAACATGTTTAAAAACGTGTGAAAGAAGCATTTGAATTTAATGTTAAAGTATAAATATTTTGTTATAATGTTATAATTTATAATACGCGATATCGCATTATTAAGAATTTATATTCTCTCTTATATCACTAATTATATCACAATCCAACGATACTACAATAATATAACGCACGATTAAAAATTACGATACATTTAACTAGTTTCAAATCGTCAAATTCTAAATAGTTTTATATATATATTTGTAAAATAGGGTATATGCAACAACCTAATATTATCGAACAACATTCGCTTCTTTTCGAAACGAAATACTTCTAAATTTGATTAATAAGAAACGGTTCAAATCGCATGTAAATCGTTTTCATAATTTTATACGTAAAAAAAAAAAAAAATAAAATAAAATAAAATAAAATAAATCGATTCTGAATCTTCCAAAGAAAAAAAAAAGAAAAAAAGAAAAAAAAAAAAAGAAACGACCTGAACTTTAAACGGTAAAAGATCTTTAAAAAATGGATAATTTCTTCGGAGTTCGGGTCATGGATGGAAATAAAAGAGAACACGAGACCCACGTTTTAACAAAATTCGTCGTTGAACGTTTGTGATTCGTTGTCCTCGCTTGTATGGAAATCATCCTGATGTGTATGAGATATCATTCGAGATTTAGAGTAACGTTAGGGTGACACGTGTCTTCCTTGAACAGAGATACAATAACTAGTGTTTAGTCCCCCCGAAGTGAAGTGGAGTAATTAGATGATGCTTGTTCATTTCTATACATTTTAATTCTATATATTTTATAGCGTTGTTTCACTCAAGAGAAGTATGCGAAGTATGCATGTGTACGAGAATCACAATGAGACGATTTTAAACGATGATTTTTACGAGACGATTGAACGTTTCGAATCGAATCGTGTTATTACTTGGATTTCAGGATGTGCGATACATATATTTGAGAGATATCTTTGGAGGAACGACAAAATTGCAAAAGTACAAAAATGTTGGCCGAGATTAATTCGTCGAGTTATTAGTGAGATTAATTTGAAGTTTGCGTTAGAAACATCTTGTTATTCTCAAATATCTGTCTCGTATGAATATATCAACATCCTTTAATGTTAAATTGATTTCATTACAAGTAATTGAGGAGTTTTTTGAAGAAGAGGAAGATTAATTTGGACTTTTATGTTTCTTCTTTAAATCTTTGTTTAATGAATGAAATGAATGAATTTAAAAAGGATTAGAGAGATAATTTTTTTTTAAATTTTTGATATCAAGAGAATACAAAATTAAATTACGTTTCTTTTTTTCTCTTTTTTATATTGTATTTAAAATATCTCTATATAAATTGCGAAAGATAATTTAACTTTTACAAAAGTCCTTTTTTCCTGAAAATTTTCTCCTCAATTGCAAATTAAAATAAGAAACCTTTGCAACTGGCATTTTCGATTAACTCTAGAATAAATTGATCCAAATCTTCTTTGTATAATATCTTTACTTTTAAATACTTTTCTCTTTATCATAATTTAATTACAATGAGTTTTATTAAAGAAAAGAAAAGATGATATCAAATATTTTAGGGTTATAATATCATTTTACACGTAAAAAATTTTTTAAAAATAATATAATGCCACATTGTATAACGTTATTATTGTGTATCATTAGCACTTTGGATTTTCAATATATTTTTTAAGTTTCTCATTAAACAATTTAAGCAAACAATTTTTATTAATGTACTCTCCTGTTCATAAGTCGTACACACAATTAAATGCAATATTTATTAAAATTATATTTAAAAGTATAATTTAAATTTTCTCAATATGTGTAAATATTAATTTTCCAACAATTGTAACAATGCTTTTCTATAAGTATTTTAATTATTCCAAGCATTCCCTGTCTTATGAACATACAGTACATTGAAAAACTGAATTTTCATTTAATAAAATCGAAAAAATTAAACGAATAGAATATTCTTTTTCTATATGATAAGAAAAACTCTGTAAGAATACTCTCATTGATTCTCACGTGTAGCAATTGGAAGCTTCGATTCCAGCTCGAACTATAAATCTAGTTATCGTTAAAATTAAATGTCTAAGGGAAATCATTTTATCAGCGTTACAACAATCAAACCGTACCATATTGAAATTTATCGCACAAAAAAGGCGTGAGTACCGCTAATTAATAAACATTTGAACGAATTTCCACTAATTTCTTCCATTTTTGAATATACATTATCTTGGCGAACGTTGCATCGTTAATTTCTCAATATATTCCTGTCACTCGTCTACATTTAGACAAATATTTAGACTGTTTCTTAATTCACCTATTAGATATAATTTCATTCATGTAGGATTAACACTATATGAATATACAGGACGTTTCCTAATTTTTCGACCAACATTGCAGAAGAATAAGTGACGAGTTTAATGCAAAATTATAAGTGGACGCTTATCCAAATTGAAATTCACAATGTGCATTCTACTTTGTGTATTTTTTTGTACATGCATTTCATATCACTTTCACATATTCAAATTTTCATAAAAATTCACAGTCTATTTATAACAAAAATATTAAACATAGGCTGATTGATGAACAAGCAACAAATTTTGCATCAAAGTGCGAAATTTATTCGAAAATAAAACTCTTTTATATAAAGTTTGCAATAAGAGTCCATTTATGAAACTTGCAATTAGATGTAAAATCTTGAAATCTTGAAAATTTAAATATTATCATAAATTATCGTGTAAAATTTATCATTAACATAAATTATATGCTCCTGCAGTTTGGTGAGAAAAATACGAGACACCCTGTATAACTGTATACTTGATAAGAAATATCTCAAATTAGAGTATAATAAAAAAATCATATTAAAGCTACTACTTCAAATTAAGCACGATGATAAGTTGATTATCAACGATTTTCTGAATTCCAAATGTTTTTTCTCTTGATGAAATTTTTAACCATTTGCCAAACCGTTTGAAAAGAATAAAAAAGACAAAAGAGGAAAGAGGAACGTTCGATAGAATTTTTGAAAAATTATCACGAACATTTATTATTGAAAATAATAACGGAGAGAGTATTTTTTTTTTTTTTTTTTCTTATAAGTTGGTACGATGTAAAGTGTTCGAAATTGTTAAGATTTAAAAATAGGAACACGATTGGAATATTACTCTCTTGTCTACTAGAGAAAAGGATGATCGTAATAGCGAACGTATATTAGTTTATCTTGTTCATCACATTACGTATATAAATAATATATAAAGGAGAGGGTAAGAGAGAATAAGAAATATTGTTGAGCCGAGAAGATTTGTACTTTATTATGCATGAGAAATGTTTATGCGAAACATTGATTTCTCATTAAATAGACGTAACATTAAGATAGGTTGATAGGTAGTTCTTTTTATAAGGAAATAAAGATTATTAAAAATGAAAGGGGAATTTATTTTCTATCATTCCCTATCCCGATCTAAAAAAATTTAATTTGCTTCAATTATTTTTCAAAAAATTAAATTATAAATATTGAATCGTATACGTAAATTTTGGAGGCAAAATTTAGAAAGGTTATTTTAAAAAAAAAGAAAAGAAAGGAAACTTCTCAGTTTCAATGAAAGTGAAGAATAAGTAAATGGAAGACGTTTATATTCATTTCATTTATTTCAACAATTTCATAATAACGTAATAATGTTAATAATATTACAATGCGGCGATTACGTGCTCACCAGTTAACAGGGATTTTCATATCGATCAACGTTTCTGCCTCGAAAAAGAGCCCAGCGTAGAAATATAACAAATTTTTATCATTATTATTAATATTATTATTATTATTATTATTATTAGTAGTAGTAGTAGTAGTAGTAGTAATAGTAATATATTAGTACTATTATTTATCGTTATTATTCCTTAATCTTATTTATTAGTATTATTATTAATATCATTATAATTATTAGTATTATTATTTATTAATATTATTATTATTATTATTATTATTATTCATTATTATTATCTTACTTAACGTTCTTCAATATGAATTTACTATTATCAGGCCAGGCTGTTGTCGAGGCATAATTTAAAAGTCAAGTGAGATCGAGGGTGAGTCAGTTCAATTGCATCGTCCCACCAGGGTCTACGGAAAAAAGGGNGTATCGTTTTCTTTTCCTCTCTCTCTC